TGGTGTTGTTGGTGATGATGATGATAGTGATGGTGTTGTTGGTGATGATGATGATAGTGATGGTGTTGTTGGTGATGATGATGATAGTGATGGTGTTGTTGGTGATGATGATGATAGTGATGGTGTTGTTGGTGATGATGATGATGATAGTGATGATGGTGATGATAGTGATGGTGTCAATGGTGATGGTGATGATAGTGATGGTGTCAATGGTGATGGTGATGATAGTGATGGTGTCAATGGTGATGATGATGATAGTGATGGTGTTGTTGGTGATGATGATGATGATAGTGATGATGGTGATGATAGTGATGGTGTCAATGGTGATGGTGATGATAGTGATGGTGTCAATGGTGATGGTGATGATAGTGATGGTGTCAATGGTGATGATGATGATAGTGATGGTGTCAATGGTGATGATGATGATGATAGTGATGATGGTGATGATGACAAAGATAGAAAAGTTAACTATTATTTTTTGACAAAATGAAAGAAGTTTACGATGAGCAAACATTTTTAGATGGCGAGAACTGATTGTGATAATTGATAACGTTCCGAGTAAATTTATTTTTTCTCTGTGTCTAAATGCCATTTTCAACTAAAATACTATAAAATGCAGGAATTATGAGCCGCACAACTTTATGTACTTACCCAAAAACTCCTAGACTTTTTAAAATAATTTTTCACTCAGTTATACAAGTTCCAGCAGCCAAATGATAAGAAAATGTTTTGAAACAAAAGTAAATAAAATGCACTCACTCAACTTACCTCTTCTACCTCTCCCACCAGATAATGAAAAATAACTTGTGTGAGATGCTTTAAGTCACGAGTTAGCATTTAATAGATAGAACGAGATCAGCCTAACAAAAATCTCACCGAATTTAGAATTTCGAAATTCATACCACACCGTGAAATATATCAAAGGTTTGGGTTATATTAAAAAGTTTAACACATTTTTTTGAAGGATTTTTTTTTATAAGACGATGACAGAAAAGCGTCAGTCAATTTTGAGGAATTCAATCTGTCATAAAAATTAACAAATTAGTTTTTTAAAACTACCTATTTTTTTAAATTTGTGATATATGAATTTTAAAAAATAAAAAAAATAAATGAATTTCACGCAATAAACAATTTCTTCTTCTTCTTTCTCGTGCCTTATACTTTCAGGACATTGGCGACCATTGACCTCCGCAAAACCAGATCTTCAACACTTTGTAGTAGTTGAAATGTGGTGATATTCAACAAGTGACACAAGGACTTCGAGAATGTTGTTCGTTGTTTTCCGCGATCTCTTCTCCCTGCACTCTCTCCAGTAGTTGTTAGATTTTCCATTCTTTCCTTCCGCATGATGTGACCAAAAAAACTTTAACTGCCCCCGTCGGATTATCTGTGGTAATTTCCTCTTTTCATAACCGGACTGTTTTAATACATCCTCATTCGAAGTATGAGAGTTTCAACTAATTTTCATAATTCTTCTCAAAAACCACATCTCAGCAGCGTTTGTCATTTAATTCATTTTTTTAGTGAAAAATAATCCATCATCAAACCAACGCCGAGTGAATAATTAATAAAAAATTCATCATCATCAGTGGAATAATCTCACAAATACATCAATTCAATCTCTCCGATAACTCAAAAGTTTAATTGCAGCTGAATGACGGTCTTGGTCCAAAACTTTTCAATTTTTCTTCTGCTCTGGATGAAATAAGTTATCTGAAATAATTTCATGAAAGAATGAAAAATAAATAATGTGAATGAATGAATGAACGAACGAACGAATGAATAAATGAGTGAGTGAATGAGTGAGTGAGTGAGTGAGTGAGTGAGTGAGTGAGTGAGTGAGTGAGTGAGTGAGTGAGTGAGTGAGTGAGTGAGTGAGTGAGTGAGTGAGTGACATTACTTCAAGCTGAGTATAATATTGATGATGTGATGATGATGACGATAGCTGAAATGGTAATGATGAATAATGATGAAATTCAGGAGCAGTTATGATGATGATGAGAAGGTGGAGAAGGAGAAGAGGATGTTGACACGACGATGGTGAATATAGATTTTTCATTGTTATCTGAGGACAAAACGCTGATGCGAGATGGATGTTATTGTCTCATATTTTGCTTTCATTCAATTTTCGTTCACTCATTCCTTCTCTCTCTCTCTCTCTCTTTCTCTTCCTCTTTCTCTCTCTCTTTTTTAATTTCTTTCTCTCTCTCTTTTTCTCTCTCTCTCTCTCTTTCTTCCTCTTTCTTTTTGTTTCAAGTTCCTTTCTTTTTTTTCTTGTATGAAACGATGGGTTGTTTCAGAGTATTTGAACGACCGATGGGAGTATTTGAACTTCCGGTGCATAATTTTTTTTTCACAAAAACATACAATTATATTTCCTTTACACTCAAAAATGTGTGTATACATACAAAAAATTACTCAAACAAACACACAAATACAAAAAACACAAACATACAAAATGATACAATCACGCATACAATAAAAAACATACAAAAAAATGGCATTACTTCAAATAAAAAACAAACTCTTTCCACAATAGATAGCTAAACCATTCAATTTTTGAAATAAACGTCATCCAAAATCATGATACAATAAGAAGTATAGCCCACGACAATGTGTAACTTTCATTTAGAAAAAAAACACACAAACTCACACGCACACATACACAAACGTTAAAAAGATGTTACAGAACTTCTAACGAGGTTTTTGAATTTTCGTTTGCAATTTCAAGAATTTTGTCTCCAGTTCTTAATTTAAAAAACACTTGTACGGTAATAATCATGTAATAATCATTCTACAAATTAATACAAAACTTCTACACAGCTGAAATCAAGTTTGTTTTATACATTGCACACACATAGTGGCATTTATATTCTTATGATAAAATATTTAAACTTTCAACTTATTAATAATGTAATATTATTTATATTTTTACTAAAAGTGCCAATAGATTTGAAATCTAGATCTAGTTTGTATACTGTGAATGTATGTGTTAGTTGCTTTTTGTCGTTGGAGAAACATTCCTTGCCAAAATACTTGGTCGTATCCTAACCATCCGTAGAGATAAGTTCAAATTTTTTGTGAAATTTTTAGCCTTATAACTCATCATTAAATCCATTAAATGGCATTTATAAACGCCTAACCGTGCTATCTCATCAAGTTTATCATTTAAAAATAAATTAGGTGACTGATAACATTTCCGAACCCGATGTACAACAGTTCTCAACAACTCGATCAGTACGAGAAGAACAATTTCTCTTTGTCATTCGGCTCTAACTTTGAAACGTTTTTATAAATAATTTTTAATTTTTTTTTAAAACAACAAAATAGAAAACTTCAAATTTCAACAGTCAAGTCAAATGTTTAAAAAGCCAACATCACATCCTGTCTATTTTTTAACGCATTGAGAATTTTTAAACACAAACCCCAAAAAATTGTTGGAAAAACTTTTAAATTAATTCAACAAACAACAAACCTACCGGCTTTTTTTCTACTTCAATCCAGTTAACTTACTTCAAAGAAGGCTACTCAATAATTCACATGTTAAGTAACTCTGCTCTACGTGCACCAAGTTAATTTTATTTAAAACGTCAATATTGGTATGAAATTTTCAAATTTTTCTCTTCACGACTTTTAGAGTTTTTTGCAAAAAAAAAATTCCTTTTTATGTTTTTACAAATTTTCTTTTGAAGTTTATTGTTTCACTTTGGGTAAAAGTCTGTAAAAAAATTTGTTTGTGGTGATGTGTTACATGAAATCATTTCCTAAGTCAATAAAAAGTTTTGTAGCTTTTAAATATTTGAAATCAACTCAAAATATAATTTAACAATAAAAAGAGAGAGAGAGAGAGAGTTTACAGAATTATTTTACTTCTATGTCCTTTGATATTTTGTGAAAAATGTTTTCAATGAATTTAAGTTTTAAAGTAAAATATGTAAATATACCATTAACGATTTCCTTACATGTAACTACCTCGCATAACCACACTTCCACATTCACACACCACACACACGCACACACACACACGCACGCACACACGCACACGCACGCACACACACACAAGTCACTCTTGTACTAAAAACAGTAGAGGCAGATTTCCATCCATAAAATAATATCTAATCTATCGAATTCGTTCGATAGTTCACATGTCCGTATGCTTCGGTACACATGCACTTGAAGTCAGTAAAATTTGCAGTATTCTATTGAAATTTTTGATGGCGGTACTTATGTAGTACCAGCTACTGCAATTCAACGTACATTGTACTTCATTACATGTATCAATTTTATCATGGCATCATTGATATATTTATAGAAAAGTCTTTTTGTTTATGTTTCATTAATTGATAAATGAATAAATAATAGTAAAATGTAATATATTGTTTCATCAAATTTTTATGTATCGTTATTGCTAGCCAATAAAATACATTTATACATTATTAAATGTTTTTATGATCATTTACGGGTTTAGTTTTTTAAGAATAACCAGGCTTTGGGATTATTAAATGTTTTTATGATCATTTATTGGTTTAGGCTTTGGCTAGCTCCTTGTCAACAAATTGAAATGAACAAAGAGTTTAAACCAAATTATAAAAAAACATTGTTTTCTTGTTCTAAATTTCAACAAATTTAAAGAGGCACACATATTATTGACACAACTCAAACAAAACACTTCCATGCGCAATAAAAGTTTGTCAAAAACAGAAGATAATCAGTCAAACGAACGATGTTTTGCCCTCCAAAAGTTTAAAACATAAACATTGTTTATAAGTAAACAAAAATATATAAATAAAAATAGATGAAAACAAGAATTCACGCCACAACTTATTAGCAAAGTCATCGGTTACCCGGATAAACATTCGATGCAGAATGGTTTTTAAAAGTTGAAAATTTGTTTGTTTTTTTTGCAAGGATTGTAACTAACAACTTCAAAAACACATTTCTAAGTAATAGGAGTTTCCTAAAATTTGGCTTTTGAGGCTAATTACCGCTATTAAAAATTAAATTTAAACAGAAATTATAAAGAAAAAATTCTTTTGTATTTGCGTCATCCAAAAAGTCGTTCCTTGATTTTGCCTCTAGGTATCATTATAAAATTATTTTTTATTTCTCAGTAAAAAATTTTTAAAATTGTTTTCAAAACATTAAAAATAAAATTTTCAAAATGATCTATTTCCTAATAACTACATTTAAAATTTTAACTACATTTAAAACAGATTCCATCAGAAAATTTTCAACATTTTTTCTGCCACGAATGGGTGGTTTTTTTTATGGGGTCTACCTTTGGCCACCTTTTCCTACGCAAATGACTCTGTTGTTTTTTCATGCATGGTGCAGAGGTAAACATCTACGTACGTGCAAATCTTCCATCAACAACATTTAGAACAATGGATTAAGATTTATATTTAAATGATTAAGACGTTCATCTCGATACCGGGATTCAAAAACTTTAAAAATGATTAGAAAAAATCAAAATAATACATTCAAAGATTGAAATTTTTATTAATTTCGAAAATATAAATTGAAAAAAGTCAACATAGGACTTGAGGCAAAGCTGTCAGAAACTTATCAGAACACTTCATAATTTAGCAGCGTGCGAATGAAGCGACTTTATTTATTTTCATTTTCTGAACTTCTTAAAAACTGACGTTGAAAAGAATGTCTCAAATAGTTAATAAACTGTCATTGTCTTCATCGTCTTCATTATCGCCGTCGTCAGTTTTGTAGTCATCGATCATCATTCTTACAGCCAGCCCTAGCGTCCACAATTTTTATATTCGCTACGGCCTTTAGAAGCCACCAAAATATGTTTTGTATGTATGTATGTAGGTTCATAGAGGGTAACATTTCAAATGAATTTTCAAATGCATATAAGAATATTTTTTAGTTATTCGTTAATCCGATCGTCTGTTTTTTATTCATTCGCTCATTTGCTTATTCACTAATTCACTTATTCATTCATTCATTCATTCACTCATTCATTCGTTCATTTATTCATCTATCCATTCATTCATTCAAATCATTCATTCATTCATTCATTCATTCAATTCATTCATTCATTCATTCATTCATCCGTTTATACATCTATCCATCCATTCGATCATTAATTCGTTTATGAACTTATTTATCCTTTTTTTTTTAAATCAGGATAAAATCAAACGATAGAGATAATGATGGAATGGATAACGAATATGATTGACCTGACAAAATTGAAGAAATAATTTCATAACACACAAACACACGCACGCACACATACTCACACACTCACACAAACACATACACAAACACATACACAAACACACAGAGACGTACAAACACATTACAGGGGCAACTAGTTCATCAGACCTACATAGGCAAAGTTACCATTACACCCAAACACATTTTGACAAACGCGTTGGCAGTGACTACATCAGCTGGTGGTGGTGTGGTGTGGTGAGTTGAAATTCAATGATATACAATGCATAGATAATTTTGAGGATAAATTTCATTTTCGAATTCATGCAAGAAAAATTATTAAAGTGTTAATGGTATTTGGAGTTGCCTTGTTGGCTCATGCTGTGAGCTTGAAAACGATGCTAAAATGATTTTTCTAACATCTAGTTTCCAATTTTAAATTTATCTGGGCTGTGTATCATTTCTGTTTGTTGTAATAACTTTCATGAACAAAATGAACAAAATAGGCACTTGAAATGTCTAGAGAGCAATTGAAATAAACCATTCACAAAACCCGTTAAAAAGCCATCCGCCCTAACCAAAAGTACCCAAACGGTCTCAAACAGACATAAACGAAAAAGGGCGCATATGAACCTACTTTAACGAGACATAAAACGAAACACTGGCTGGCACGGATAGACAAATTTAAACTTCAAAAACCGAAGCACTCTGAATCATCGACCTAATCTGGCTATCTAGCCTCGAAGCATAAACCACACAACTATATCCATATAGGTTTTAGTTTTATCGATGGGGGATTCATTTTATAGCAGCATAAATATTAATGCTAATAAACATTCAATGCTACTTTACCATTATATGTTAGTGTTTCTATTTATTCAATCTACAATTTCTGCCTTTATTACATGACGTGTGACTGAACAGATAGCGTGCACTTTGATTTGTCAAATTTAACGAGGTCTGATGAGCTAAAACTTAGCCTAATATAAGTTTTAGTGGTGTGTCTTATGTAAGATGTCCTCAACTCAGCGTCACTCTTCTCTGGAATGCATTTGAAGCCGGTAACAGCAGGTTGCCACTAAGACATTTACCAACTAATGTTTTGGAGAGTTGCAAAGTGATCAGTAACCGCACATTGCTAAAAACAACCACTACTACAACAAAATACCACCACAACCAACAACATCAACAACAACAACATCAACAATGCATCAGCATCAACAACATCCGACAACAACAACATCATCATCAACAACAAAATCAACAACATCAACAACACATCAACAACCGACAACATCAACAACACATCAACAACACATCAACATCATCAACAAAAATATCAACAACAAAATCAACAACCGACAACAACATCAACAACAGCATCAACAACAACATCAGCATTGACAGCTTATAGTTTTCCGAATGTTGTTCAGTCTATGATGGATGGATTGCTATTCATAATGCGCTCATTCCATTGAGGTGTTTTGGCGGAATGAAGATGGTGATGACGATGACGATAATGATTAAGATGATGATGATGTATTGATGACGACGATGATGATGATAGTTGGTCATGAATAATTAGGCAATTTATTCAAACTGTCCAAATGATGACTTTACCTAGCAGTATATTTTGTTGGAGAAGTTTAACACGAGGTCTTAAAAAGTTCACAAAGTTCTCTCATCAATTTATAGTTGAAAACTTTAAAAAAAATAACTTTTTATAATCAAGACTCTGGTTTGTATCGAATTTCTAGCGATGGATTCGACGAATCCAATACTTTACCGAATTGCGAGATTCATGGACAAATTCGAATCAGGATTTGACAACTTCAAGTTCCTAAGTCCCGAATAAAGATTTAAACTTTTTTTTCAAACTATGCTATTTTATTCACAGTATAAATTTAATTAAATTGAATAAAAAAAATAGTTTTTTAATTAAGTTGCAAATACTTCCCACAAAAAGCTATTTAAAAAAACGAACTTGAAAAAACATGAAATAAATCATTTTGTTTGTAGCTAGCTCAAACACTGAAACATAAAAATAATTTTTGAAAAATAATTTTTGAAAAATAATCATTAAAAAAAAACATTTCAAATCAAAAATTTAATTTACTTTCAAAGGTTCTGAAATGACAGTAAGACCAAGAGACCACACACGTCCGTATAGCAGCAAAATTTCATCCAGAAATAGCATCAACGCCATGGTATGGAGCTCCAGATGGTACAACAATCACATCAGCAAAGATAACATTAACAAAAATCACGCCGGTGATGATGATCACATTAATTTCTGTAACTGTAATACAAATGACTTGACAAATAATGATATCAGGTTCAACAACAACAACAACAACAATAACATCAACAACAACAACATCATCAACAACATGAACAATAACATCAACAACTACAACATTAAAAACAACACGAATACAAACAACAAAATCAATCACATCAACAACACTAAAAACAATCTCACCAACGTTATAGACAACAACCTCTGTAAGAAACTAATGAAAATATTTTTTGATAACAACAACACTAAATACCTTAGTTACAAAATTCTTACCAACAAAAACAACAACCACAACAACAACAGCAGCCACCACTACTACTACCACCACAACAACAGCAACAACAGCTACCACTACTACTACAACGATTATTTCAACCACAGCTACATCAGCGACAACCGCAACGACACCAACGACAATGTAATGCCTGCAAGCACAATGGAAAGTTCAAACGCCTTTGTTGCTATGAAAAGCCCTGGCAAAAGAAGTCTTAACAATACGAATAATAATAATATTAATAATAATAACAAAAATGATAATAATAATGATAATGATACTAATAATAATAATAATGATGATAATGATAATAATAATAATATTAATAATAATGATAATAATAATGATAATTATGATAATGATGATATTAATGATAATAATGATAATTATGATAAAAAAATTATAAATAATAGAAATAATAATAGGAATAATAGAAATAATAATATTTATGACGACAATGTTATCGACAAGAATAACAATAACAGTAACTACTATAACATCGAAGTTAACGGAGGTATTAAAAACAAGAACCGCCGAGATCCTAGCGGCAAAAACAAACTCATCCACAACTATATCTCTATCTATGAAATATATCTATATCTTAACAGAAACAAGACAAACTACCATTGTAACAACACCAACCACAACAACAACAGCAACAATAC